ATGCGGTCGCGAGCCGTCTCCACATTACTCTTCATTCCCGTTATAACAATCACATCAGAGTCGGCCCCTTCGGCCGGCAAATCAATTCGGGTTCCCGTTTCGTCTCTTATCTATCATCACACATATACTTATCATTAATATCAACATTTTGTGATTTGTGCTAAAAAGCATGCAATTCAATAACGACTAGCATTTCAAATATATTGATTGCATTGCAATTAATTAAAATGACATTGCTTCAATTTCTAGCTAAATGCTGACATTAGAATTTAATATCTAACGACATAATCCTAGATAAACAATAATAAAAGCTGAGCGACAAAATCTATGCCAACCATAATTGACACACAAACTAATGATAAGACTCTCAATTTGCTAAAATCAAAAACGATTGCATAAAAAATGGTAATTAATATGAAATGGTGTTAAGATTGGAGGCAATCGTAGTTTAGTAACACAAAAATGTCAATTAATTCAACTAATATCTTACTCTTACATCAAATGGTCGACAATATTATTATACAACTCATAGAGTATTTAAATTTCTAAAATATTCAACAATTGGGTAATGAATGAGAAGGAAGGAGGCGTTTTAATGTGTGAATAACTCACCTTTTTGATATTTGCGCCCTCTTTACCAATGATAAACTTATGGAACTGTTTAAATATAGGCACTTCCACTCTGTGGTTATTAGTGAGGAGTTCTTTGTTGAGCTGAGACAAGTGTTTGTAGCACTGGTCGACGTCCTTTCGGGTCCCTCTGATGGTCACTTTGTCGCTCTTATCATTGGGTTCGGGAAATATGATTACAACCTATAATCACAGCAAATGTTAGACTAGTATTCAAAGCAAACAATTTCATTAAATGTAGTGAAAAGATGTCAAAACCTGATTAAAGCTCTCGCGAATCACTTTAATTCGCTCTCCTTTGGCGCCAATGATCTGTCGATGAAATCTCTGTTCAATCATTAGATCCTTTGAGACTTCATTTTCTTTTTCAACCATTTTCTTAATAATTATTTCCAATTCCTGTTTGGCTTTAAGCACACTCTGAGGCGAGCCTTCAATTCTAATGATATCACTTGAGGCCACCGTTTCATTGCCTTCGGTAGGAATATGGATCTGAGCGCCGGTTTCTTCGCGGATGTGTTTTATATGGACTCCATTTTTGCCGATAATAAAGCGATGATATCTGGAGTCGACTTTGATTTCTTCGACAATAATTTTGGAAGTGATTTCACGGATCACTTCGCCGATCACTTCCTTGGCTTTGTCCACTTCAGCGACGGGTCCGTGCATTTTGATCTTGTCTTCGTTCGACACGAAAGAGACGTTCACTTTCTGGAAGTCTTGAGAGATCTCCTGAAATTTGGTGCCTTTGGGGCCCAAAATGTATTTGTGATACCAGGCGGGCACCTCTATCTCGGCGTCCACTTCGCTGTGCGCCTTCTCGTACAGCACAGTCAGCGCCGGCCCTAACTTCTCCTGTTCTCCCCGAAGAGTAATCGTCTCACTATTGCTGTCCGGAGAGGGCATCTCCACAGAGACGCCAGTCTTAAGGAAGATGTCGTTCAGAGTCTGGCCCTTATGACCAATTATGTACTTGTGTTGCGATTTTCTCACTTCCATTGACACGGTTTGACACTTCTTCTCTCTGTCGCGAAAGATATGCATAATCTTGTCTTTGGCCATAAGGACGGCTTCCCTTTCGCCAGTGATAGAGATCTCTTCTTTGTTAACACTCGGCGGCGGAACACTTACTTTAGCGCCCGATTCGCTCATAATTTGGGCTAACGTTTCATTGAATGGGCCGACAATAAACGGGTGATAGATCTTAGGAATGGATACGCGCTCATTGGCACGACTGGCCATCTCGTTGGAGATCAATTGGATCTCGTGGACAGCCTTATCAATGGCCTCCTTTGTGCCCAAGATTTTGATTAATTCCGAGGTTTCGTTTTGTCGAGGAATATAGATTTTGGTTCCGGTGTTTTGTTCCAATGCCGACAATCTTTGGCCGTTTTTGCCTAATATGAAGCGGTGGTGCTCTTTAGGGATGGGCAGCGAAGCGCTCGCCTGTGTCTGCAGTTCCGAAGAGATCATACGTTTGGCCAAAAGGACGGCCTCTTCTTTACCAGTGATGAGGAAAGTGAGAGTTCCGTCTTTGGAAATACTCATCTCGATGTGAGCACCAGTTTTCTGCATAATGTCGGCGCAGATCTTCGCCTGTTCTGCCTGTTCGCCGAAACGACTGTTTAGTTCCCTATACTTCCTCTCTTCGGGCGCCACTCGAAACACTTGAGTGATGTTTGAAGACTTGACTTTCATTCTCTGGATATTCCACTGAAGACCTGTGTTGGCGACGGCGTTGTCCGGATTCGGCTCGCTTTCTGGAAGTGCTGGAAATATATCATCGTATGTGCCGAGTGTTGGCGCCAGTGTTGGCGCGAGTGTAGGCACAGGTTCGGCGGTCACGTGATAATCGGCCGGTGGAGTCAGTATCTGCTGTTCAAACGTCGGGTCCAAAGCAGACACTCCGTAGTGGGAGATATGGGAGGAGTGGCCGTTCGGGTCACTCAAGGGAGACAATGCCAAGTGTGGCACTCCCGAGAAGTGGCCCTCAAAGCCCTGAATCGCTGGTTCCGGATTCATAGTCGGGTTAATCAGTTCCGAGTCTACAGTATCTCTACAAATGACAAATGAGACCAAAAATGCATTATTAATAATTAATTCACTCTTTTATATCATTTCAATAAATGAATGGTAATTCAGACAAGAAATGCATGAATGGATCCAATAGTGGATCAAATGGTATTGAGGAAGAGATGCAATACATTATTGATATGAATGCCACGTATTGTGAACTCAATTCCTACACATTTGTCATTCATATATGAATTATGTGTACATTAATGACAATTAAGTGATTAATACATAAAATCAATACAAATTAATGGATTATTTATGAGATAATAAGGTATTAGTGATACAAATGAGACAACCATTGAAGTGAATGACGTGTCACACAATCCAATGCACTGACCGTCAGACACGACAACGGATCCCAAGACAAGCACTTACTGTACTGTTCCGTAGAGACCGTCCAATTGTCTACAAAATGGGCTCCACTTTTAACCGCAACTTGTGATCACTGTTTGGTCACAACTTGGAGTAATGCAATGGTTTTGATCCTAAAGGACAACACGATATGCACTAATCATTACATTCATTATGTAATGTCAGCACTAGTGAGGAGTCGATCCTACAATTCACTACACGATTGCCATTCACTCCACTCTCCACTCACCGCACATACACTCAGACCCATCTATACTCACACCAAACACTACTATTGGGCGCTACTTTCAAACACATGCCTACATTAAATGTACAAATTTTGTAATCAATGATTACTAATCATCATTAGTTGATCAATGATTAGTGTTGTTAGTGTGAAATATTCAATTCATTACTTCACGCTCGCAAATATAACTATTGTACAATTACTGTATTGAGCCACGATCACTCATTTAACAAATCATTATGGTCTTAACATGGTCAAATGAATTCAGTCAATGTCTCAATTGACTCAATGTCTATTAATAGGTTACACATATCCAATGTAAAGTACATACAGTATAATACAGTATTTAATTTGCTTGATCATTTTGTAACGCTTATAATTAATATTCCTGAAATTATGGCAATCATTATAA